TCATATCACCATGGCCATTCATGAAGTGGGGAATGGATATCGTGGGTCCATTACCACAAGCAAAAGGACAGGTAAAATTTTTGCTCGTGCTTACTGATTACTTCACTAAATGGGTAGAGGCAGGAGCATTTAAACAGGTACGAGAAAAAGAGGTCAGAGACTTCATTTGGCGTAATATCATCTGCCGTTTTGGTGTACCAAATGAGATTGTATGCGACAATGACCCTCAATTTATCGGAGCTCAAATCACTGAGTTTTTTGAGAGTTGGCAAATTAAAAGAATCACATCTACACCGTATCACCCAGTAGGCAATGGACAAGCAGAATCAACGAACAAAGTCATAATCAACAATGTGAAGAAGCGATTAGAGGAATCAAAGGGTAATTGGCCTGAAGTGTTACCCGGAGTTCTATGGGCGTATCGCACGACAACAAAGACGAGCACAGGTGAAACTCATTTCTCTTTAGTTTATGGAGCTGGAGCATTAATCCCAGTTGAAATAGGAGAACCGAGTACAAGATTCTCACAAGCAACACAAGAGTCTAATGATGAAGAGATGCGAGTCAATTTGGATCTACTGGAAGGCAAGAGAGAAAGCCGCATTAATAAGAATGGCAGCACAAAAGCAAGTGATCGAACGATATTACAACAAGAAAGCACGACTGAGATACTTCAAAACTGGGGACTTCGTGCTTAAAAAAGTTTTTCAATCTACAAAGGCGGCCAACGCAGGTAAACTAAGTCCAACCTGGAAAGGACCCTACAGAGTTCGAGATACTGCAGGAAAAGGAGCATACGAGTTAGAAACAATGGACGGGAAGGTGCTTCCATCGCATTGGAATGCAGTTCATTTGAAGAGATACTACTTCTAAGGAAAAACCCACGGTCAGGTATCACCATGTTAAATTGTATTTTTTTTTGAATTGTTAAAATTTTACTAACGATTTTAGATGATAGGCAAAACGCTAACCCGTACTAAATGATGAGTCACGACCTGTAAGGCAAAATGGAGTAAACTAAAATTCCTAGCCCAGGGTTACAATTATTCTGATAGAAGTATACACGGGTTAAGCAGTCTTCATCTATAATCGCACCCCCGAGTCCCGTATGTATTTCCTTTTCAGGAAAAGGACCAGGTGAAGGAGACTATCAAGTGCTCGAGGCTTCATACTTCAACACTCAAACACTTGGGGGACTACATAGNTTACCCCATAATAATGATAGTATTTGAGATTGGGCTTTTTTCACTTTTAGCTCGCGTCAGAAACTATTAATATTCGGTAGCCAAAGAAATGTATAATTTTTGTATATAACATATATAATATATATTCAGTTATTACTTTGAGATCAGCTATACAATGTCATTTCTCCAAAATAGATTTGTAAAATGAGTAATTAATGATAAGGGTGAAATAAAAGATAAAAACATGATCTTCTCTTGATTTGTTAATTTTGACAAGTAAAAGTAAAAATATATTTTTAGTATAATAGACAAATACGAATGAACAGAGGGAGTACATAAATGTTCACCCAATTTATGAACAATATTAATTATGCCAAAAAGACAAACAAGAATCGAACAATGTATTAACGATGCTAAGTTGGCAGCTCACCTCGACTCTATTCCACTGAATAGATGTTACCTTTAACCAGCACAAATACAGTTAATTTTATCCATCACGAATTAGGCATATGGGAAGAAATCATATTTTTTTTGACGCCGCTAGAATTTGTACCTCGGTTTCCAAATAGTATAGTTACTTCATTGATTACTAAACCACTCTTTTGGGTGCATCCTTTCTTTGCTTACTTTTGAAGAGGTGACTAATAATGTTATGTATTTGAAAAAAGCCAAAAACCAAAATAACACTCCACGACTTCTCATTTGCTTATGGGAAGATAAATAAAAGCAGAATGCAAAATTGATATTGTCATCATTCTCAGGCCCGTCACACAAAATCTTTAAAAAAGAATTGCATTTTACAAGATATTGTCATGCATAACCACATTAGGCATGTGATAACACCAGGAATCCAGGATGAGAGATACAAGCAACAACTGAGCGAGCAGCGGAGAATGAAAAACTAGACATATGTTTCTGTTGATAACCTCCATAATCTGTAGAATACAATCCTTCCATCAAGACAATATCACCCTTTCACAACTAGGGTTATTGTCTTCAAGTAATAGATTTGACTTCGCCAAATGGAAGCGCAAGAATCATTTGAAAAGTTCAACACTATCACGATGTTTTCTCAAGAATGATGCACCAATTTGATTTGTCATAGAATCTATCAACGAGAATGGCATTACCCAGACCAGACACCAACCTATTGAAGAACAGAACATGTCAATTAGTGCAGCTCATTGTTACAAATTGATCAAGCTTCTAATTTTGCGAAACTACATAACAGAGAAGTACTGCCTCATCTTGCCACTCCCCCACCCCAAATACTCAAATAGTCTTTCCCTTCAGTCCATAAGGAGGGGGGGGGGGGGGGGGGTATGAAAGAAGCAATAAAAGAACTTCAGAAATGAATCAGAGACAAACAAGCACAAGCCCTGCAATAAGGGAAAAAGAACCTATTTTTACTTATCAAGAAAAACTGATCAACTGGATTTGTTTTGTTGTTCATTCATCTATATGCACGCACTTCAGTTTATTGGGAGAGAACAGTAACACGTTAAAATTACTTCTGAATAAGGATGAAAGAGACTCCTAGCCTCGCTTATAATGAGATAATCAGAACTCTAAAACTCATTGCTCTTTTGAGGTCAATACAATTTCAAAAGCTCACATGTGACCTCCCAAATATCATATGTTTTTAAGAGATTCAAACTCTATGAACATATTATTGCCAGAGCATTGATTGTACACTAAATTTCTACTCAAAGAATGACACAAACTGTTTACACTTCCCTAGCCACAAAAAAAAACATAATGGAACAATTGCGAGAAGTGTAACGACATTCAATCATCATGTTATAGATTATAAAATTTAACAACCATGATAAGTATTTGTTAACATATAGCGACTTGACAGAATGAAATCAGTCAAACAAGAAAATTTGGGGAAAGTTTTACTTTTCTTATATAAAATAGAAAAGGAATTACCTTTCAAGTTCCCCTTCACTAAAAACGTGGTAATATCTATTATACACCATAGAACCCTTCTTATCATCTTTCTTTGCCAAACCACTAGCTAAGGCAACAGCTGAAGCCCCACTTACTTCAGCTCGATGATAAGGTAAGTGCCAAGGAACAAAGAATTCCTGTTGCTCTGCATAACCTTTTCCAGATCCAGTAAGCAAAGAACGACCTTTATCCTGAGAGGTTGAGTCCATAACTTCAGCTGATTTTACTTTTGAAGACTTTGCATGTAGGTCTTTCAACTGCTCCCCGGTACCATTTTCCTCTGCTTCTGGGATGCTTACAAGGGTGCGAGGAGATGAAGGGTTGCGAACTCGAGGACTTCCTGGTCCTATCCACTCTGCTATATACCTTTGGTTAAGTGGTGTCCATTTTTCAACTAACGACGTGTCTTCTTGTTCCCTGGCCCAGACAGTAATTAAAATACACCCACCCTTTTTAACAACACGGACGAGTTCCTCCACCGCTTTCCTCCTCCTATCTTCAGTACTTAAGTGATGCAACACAGCAATAGAAATCGCTGCATCACCATAACCAGTCCTATATGGTAGGTTCACAGCGTCTGCAACCAAAACTTCATGTCCCCTATCTGCACATATATTAACAAGAGCAGCACTAATGTCACACCCAATAAAGAAACAATTAGGATTTAACCCCAAGTATTTCCCATTTCCACATCCAGCATCTAAGATGAGTGAACCGGGAGATAATGAGTTCAAGAAAGCTGACACTTTAGGCCACTTTGCAAACCGAGTGGAACTGAAATGGGGAGCAATGGCATCATAAACACCATGGACATACTTCTTTTCGATTTCTGGGGTTGATTGAACATTTGAAGAACATTTTGCTCTGACAGAGACAGGACGTAGAACAGGAGCCTCTCCCACATATTCTGAAGTAGGCAAACTCAAGGCATTATGAGTTCCAACTTCTTTCATTGTACTAAAACTTCTTCTACTGAAAATATTACCAACTATAATAGTAGAGTTAATATATACTCCTTTGAAACAAAATGAACTTGCCGTCCCAACACCAAAGAGCATCAGCTACAGAAATAGTACATGACAATAATCTGTTCAGACAAACGAAGAAAAGCAATAGCAACTGAGGTTCATAACAAAGAAATTTATCAACCAAGTAATCTTTCAATACATAAATGGAATATTTTCTTCACGCTGCTTACACTCTTAATATAATTAAAGCATCTTTCTTTCTTTTTGTTTCTTTTCATTTCTAAGTTTGAAACCTATACAAAAACATTCTAATCCATGACATAATAACATTTAACTCAAAGGACCTACTGCATACACTAACCAGGACAGGATTTAACCTACTGGAGCGATTCGGGTTACAGTAATAAGGATTAGAAAAGGGTATTTCTCTATTAAATTGACTTAAAAGTTAAAACTGTAATGAGAAAAGAAAATCCCTTTTAGTACATTAGGATGATTTGGTGGATGTATTGAACACTTAAGACTTAAGTCCCAAGAACTAGAACTCCTAATTCTATCATAAATATTTATCTTTAATGAAATAGAACACACAAAAATCATTGTAAGTCAATTGCTAAATTACTTGGGAAAAAGGGAATTTAGGGTTATTACACAAAAATGAGAAAGAGAAATTAGGAACTTACACAGCTGGGGATATTGGTCGGAGAAAGAGAGGAAAGGAGCAAGCGGTGGTGGTAATTCAATCGATCTATTGTGGCGTCTTTTAAAATTGGCGGGCCGAATATCTGCTACTTGGGCTTTTTAGTCTCAATTGGGTTGCTATTCTAAGCATTCTGCCTTAATCTACTAACAATGGGAACCCTAATTCAATTGATTTTAGTAATTTTTAGCAATGCCTTGAATAATATATACATACTCCTATATTTTTTTTTCATAAAAAAAATAATAAAATGTCATCTCATCATATTGTGAAAATGATTATATCTTACGTTTTTAATGGGGTCACAATTTGTTATGTGGGGTTTGGGAATTTGTTTCATCCTCTTTTAAAAATGTTTGAAAAGTAAAACCTACTTATTAAACAAAAAACTTTATATTTTATCATTTGTGTCTTTTCTTTTCTTTTTCCTGTTGCACATTCACCGAAGTTCCAAACTTTTTAAGCGCAAAAGCTGGTCTAATGTCATTTTCGTTAAATAAGTACTCCTACGGTCCTACTACCTAATAAGTAGTTCAATGACTTTCAGTGTCATTCTCGTTAAAATAAGTCTACAAGATGATAAACTCATTAAATGCTATGATCACAGAAGGAAAATCTGAGCAGATTTCCAGCCATTAAATAAGGATTCGACTATCCCCAAGCTTAAAACGAGAACAATGCGTTTCGACTAAAATGATTAACCAATTCAAAGTAGGATTCCTAATCGAGACGAGGAATTTGAAATTATTCATGTTATGTTTCAAATTATTTCATTGCCTTCAAACAAGCTCCAAATTGGATCAAAATACACATTCATTATACATGGCATTAGCAAAAATCAGGCATTGAGCAGTTCTAGAAAAATGAAATAAAGATTCGGCCATTTAATCATTAAATAAAAGCTAATACAAGGGAGTTTGAGAACTAACCTGGTTGAACAAAGAAAACTCGAATAAACCGACTAAAGGCAGAGGCAAACTCGACCGAAGCTCAGCAGTTCCCGAAATAGTAAAATCAGCGGAATCGAACAGAGATTTGAGTTTAAATCAAACTCTTAGCTTCGAAACAAGCTCTACAGCTCCATCAAGCTCTGAAATACCCAGAAAATGTGAGAGAAGACAAGAATTTGAAACTGAAAATTAGCTTAGCAATTTTTGAATTTTAGCTCTAAACTTTGTAATTCCCACTTGTTACTAGAGGCTTCAGCGTGTGTGTGTCAGGGAAGAATGTGTATGAGTGAGAGAGTGACGAACGGGAGTTCAGAGAGGAGTGAATTAGGGTTTTTTGAAAGGGGAGGATCCATCTGTCTCGAGAATGAAAGAGAGGGGTTGTTTTTGAAACCAAACGACGTTGTTTGGCCCAAACTGCGTCGTTTCGAGGGACTGGTGGGTGGATATTAGACCGGGTATTTGGATGGGTGTGGGTATTTGAGACATTGGGCCACCGATATTTTGGGCCCAAATTAATGTGCAGAGGAGGCAACCCCATCTCTTTTTTCTCTTTTCAATATTAGATTTTTGCAAACTCTAGCCATTTTAGACTCAAACTTTTATTGAATCTAATTTTTGTATGGCTAGCCTATTTATCTATTTTACCTAATGATGTACTAATGCAACTAATTAACTAATCTAAAATGTAATTTGCAATTTTATGTATTTAACTAATGCATCTAATGATGAAACTAAATCCTAAAAATGCAACTAAAGTGTTAGAATGCAATAAAACAAAAGAAAAATATATATTTTTTGACATTTTGTGATTTAAGCTACTCCTAATTAGGCTAAAGAAAAATGCAAAAATGCAATATATTGCAAAAAATAAATAGAGAAAAATTCTCTAACAACAACAATAACAATAACCCAGTAAAATCTCACTAAAAATTCTCTAACAGTCCTACAAAAATCTAAAACAAGTAGAAAACTATTTTTGACCTTTTTATAAGCGATTTTATGCGTCGGGCAAAAATTACGTGCTCACATTGTTCGTTACTCAAAAGTGACTTTTCTTTCTTTTGTTACACAAAAATATTTTACTTTGCTCTAGGTACCACAAAAGTCACCTTGGCCAGATTTTATAATATTTTTTAGTTGAAAAGTTTATTATACCCTTGACATTATATAAATTCTCTCATTTATGTAATACCTTCTATATTATATACTATATAATAAATTTTATCTAAGTATTTTACTTATAATTAAAATAACTTTATATTATTACTTTAATAATTATTTTTATAATATATTCATAAATTTAATTTCTTTTATAGCATTAAATTGTTTGATCATATTCAAACATGAACATATTTTAAAATATAAAAACGATAAAAAATATTTGTAATATTTGTTGAAATAACAACAATAGATTTGTTTAACAAATGATAGTTTTTTATAGTCAGTATAACTTTTTAAAAAATTCAAAGATATTTGTGTTTAATATTAAGTTTTTTAAAGCTTTATCTGTTAATATTATTACTTGAAAGTGTTAATGTGATGTATCGGTATGCTAAATATGAGTATTTTATTTATTAAATTAACGAACAGGGCTTGGCTTATAAATATGTGAGCTTTGATTTTATAATTTTTATTAAAAATATTTCATTAGGCATGGTTAAGAACGTTGACTTGAGATTTCCTCACAATTTTATTACTGACAAATTTAATAATGCTTTAAATATATCTTGCAAATTAACGTTAAAGGAAAATGAAATATACAAATATATTGTGAAAATAATATTAATTTATTTTAGTTATAAGTAAAATACCTAGGTAAAATATATTATATAATATATAATATAGAAGGTATAATATAAATTGGAGAATATATATAATGTCAAGGGTGTAATAGACTTTTCAAGTAAAAGTAATATAAAATCTGGCCAAGGTGACTTTTGTGGTACCTAGAGCAAAGTAAAATGATTTTTGTATAACAAAAGAAAGAACAATGACTTTTGAGTAATAAACACAAAGTTAAATGAATTTTACGTAATAAAAAAAAGGAAAGTAATTTTTGGTTAATAAACACAAAATTAAATGACCACCCATAAAATTTAGTCGTTTATAATATGGTAAAGTTCAAAGCATTTGCGCTTTTTTTAATTCGTGGGAGACTCGTCTTTTTTGGTTTCTTCCCCCTCGTTATAATACATTAGTTATGAATGGAGATCACTGAATATCTTGCATCTACTTATTTTGAAAATAGTGGGTATATTTGTATTAAATTCTATAGTTTGAACAGGAAACTTGGGTGACTTAGCACATCTCCCTCCCAATATTTTGAAAACTGAGTTTCGCATTCATTGTTGTACAGGCATCGAGCATTTTGGCAGTGTATTATTTATCGTTAAATAATCATAGTAGTACTTCTTTTGATAACTGCGCTGGCATTCACATAGCTATTATTTTGTTTAAAATTATTTGGGTTCTTATGTGATGTAAAAAATATTTAGAGCCTGTTTGAAAAGCCACCTTGGAAATGGATTTGGGTGTAATTGGGTGTAATTACACAGTTTGGCAGATCGGAAGAGC